GTGACTCCCAAATCATCTTCACATTCCTCAGGATTGTCTCTCTGATTATTTCAGGCATTCCAKGTGATGGATAAGACCCTTAAAAGTGCAAAATTCTACTTTAAAYAGAACTGAGCACCAACATTTAATAAAAACTCAACATCCTGCCCGACCCCGCTGCGATGATGGGCTGGGAAAGCTCCAGGACACGGCTCCCTTTTTTTCCCTTTAGCAAGGGTAAATTCWGGGATTTATTTCACCTTGAGCAGACCCTTCATTCTCCCAAATTCTCCTCCAGCTCCGTGTCCGTTCTGCCTCGGGGAGTGGAGCCGTGTCCCTCGGGGAGCACTCAACCATTCCTCAGCGATCCCAGGGAATAACTCATCCCACCAATCCCACCAACGGCGCTCGGGGAGCCATCCCTGTCCCTCCAATCGTTTGTTTGGAAAATTCCCAAATCGAAAACTCTTTTTGAGCACAGGCTCCTCTCGGTCTGGGCCCTTCTCGTTTGCCACCATTCGCAGTTTTTTTGTGCCCTGAGCCACGGATGAAAGCGGACCTAGAGGAGGGGCAGCTCCGGTCACTGCTCCRTGTGACCAAGGAAATGGTCACTGGACTGTGCCAGGAGGAATTTAGGATGGATAATKGTGGAAAATTCTTCCCCCAGAGGGTGATGGGGCACTGACCAAGCTCCTCAGGGATTGGGCACTGCTCCGAGGCTGCCACAATTCCAGGTGAATTTAGACAGCGCTCCCAGGTTCATTTTGGGATTTTGGCATCACTGGCCAAACCAGGAGTTGGATTTGGTCCCTTCCATGATTCCATCCCATCTTTTTGCTAAACTCTTCTCCTCCCTAATTTGTAATTTTGCAAGTAAATCATTCTTAATAAACTTTGAACATAAATGAAAAACATTTGAGAAAAAGAACCTGTTCTCCCTGTTCTGTGGACATTTGGGCGGGCTCCACACTGAACCTGAATTCCCCGAGTCTACCCTGAAGCTCCTCGAATGTTAATATCCTAACACTAGGATAATTTCATTTCCAAATGTATTTTATTTTACGGCTTTTTTATTCTTGGATGCCTTTTGGTTGCCACAATGGCAAATGAAGCTTCTGACATTCATGTTCAAATTCTCAAGAGTTTCAAAGATGCCAAATAAGGGACGAGATTTAAAATACCCGGAGCTGGAATGTCCCAAATGTACTTCGAAATATATAGGTGGGATTAAAAAAATTAGGGAAAAGAAATCCTAGAGAAAAATATGTATTTGAACATGTTCAGTGTTTTTTAAGAGTGCAAAAACAAGGAAATAATTTTTATTATGTGGGTTGTGGTGACTTTTGGGTTCACATATTCTTCTATGAAATCACTGCATAGATTTTCATATAATACTGCCCCAAGAGGAGGCAAAAAGGTGAGAAAAACCACAACGAAACGTAAAATCAGATGCAACATCAGTTTAATGAAAAAAAGTCAAGTAGCATTCAGCAAAAACAAAAGGAAAATATATATTTATGAAGGGAAAAGAAGCCACTGAAACCATCCAAACTGAGAAACAACAAGTGAGACACTGCCTTTCCTGAATTCCTGAGTAAAACCCATACGCCGACCGCCAGGAATTCCATCATTAACCCACATCAGTGTGAAATGCAAAATCACAGATACAAGGAAATTAATTCACAGCAGGATTCCTGAGGCTGGGACAGGCTGGACAAGTGTCCAGAGAGTCACTCCCTCATGGACAGGAGGGCCCGAGGGGGCCCAGGACCTCTAAAAACACTGGCCAGAAGCTCCAGCCTTAGGCCAGCCCCGCTGGACGTCCGGCCAGGCTTTAGTAAGGCAGGCACCTGCGGCCACAGTAGCGGCCACCAAAGCCAGAAAGAGCCCCGAGCCCAAAGCCCCCCGAGTTGATGGGGACGCCATCCTCGCTGAGGATGCTGCCCACGGCGGCGGAGGTGGAGGATCCCACGGCGGTGTTCTGGGGGAAGGAGCTGAGGATGGGCCCGGGCAGAGTGACCACCACGGGCGAGGGCTGGATGACCACGCGGGAGTCCTGGCACTGGCGCACGCAGGGCTCGTTGCAGCTGTTGGCCAGCGGGGTGGGGCCGCAGGGCCGGCACAGGTCGTAGCAGGACATGGCTGTGGCTGCAGGAACACCTGGACAGAGGATGGGAGAGCACCCAGGGAAGGTGAGGAACAGCCCCAGATGCTGCTCTCAGGAAGAAACAACGGCTGGGGACAAGGGACAGCCCCGAGAGGGACACAGGAACAGCTCAGAGAGGGACACAGGGACAGCCCGGAGAGGGACACAGGGACAGCCCAGAGAGGGACACAGGGACAGCTCAGAGAGGGACACAGGGACAGCCC